GGGGGTCCTCCTAAGGTTTAGCGTTTAAGGTTTCGGGTTTAGGGCCCCTCAACTCTAAGCCCTGAAGCCCAGATAAATCAAAATGGGCAAAAGCAACGCAACAACTCGATCCAACCCGCAGAAAATCCTGCTAGGACTCCTGGTCTGAACAAATAGCCGCTCAAACCCCTAGCCACATATGAGCCATAGTCTAATTTCCTTGAAGAAGGGTTCTATGAGGGATTATACAGGGGACTACTAGAATGGGTATTTAGGAGGATACTAGGACTTTCGCCTATATAAACCCCTAAACCGCCAAACCCCTAGAGCCTTAACCCTGGGAACCCCCCAAATGTTCGGAACCCTACAAACCCCGTCCCCATTTCATGTTCCATATTCTTTTCCATTTCATTCTCCAGGGTATCCCCATAATCCTCTAGATAAACCCTACAAACCTCTCAACCCCAATCTTAAACCCCTAAGCCTCTGAACCCTGCACCCTAGACCCCTAAATCCCTAACCCCCAAAACCCCTAAAATCCCCCAAAAACCGAAACCCTTAAATCCCAAAAACCCTTAAACCCTGAAACCGTTTGGAGCTGAGCCTGGAAGTCACCGTCCCGGATAGCTCTCTGCGCAGCCTCAGCAGATAAGTAACGGAATCATATAGGTGTTCGGGTTCAGGGCTTAAAGGGGGGGGTCTAGGATTATATAGGAATGGAAAATGTTATACAAGGTTACATAGTGCTTAAAGCTTCTAGATGAATTTTCAGGTGTGAATTTTCAAGTGGGGGAAACTCCCCACCTGCGCTTGTCGTTAGAGATAGCCTCCTCAGCCGCGCGTACTGAAGACCCTAAACCCTAAACCCTAAACTCTAAACCCTAAACTGCAAACCCTAAACCCGAAACCCTAGACTCTGACTCTCTCTCCCTCTCTCGCAGACTCAGGTTCCTCAGCTGCTGTGCATAGCCGGGCATGGCAGATCATGACTCTTAGTATGAGGACTCCCTAGATAAAATGCTAGGATTACATGGGGTTTAGGGTTTAGGGATTATAGGGAACATATTGGGGTTATATAGGGATAATGGAAAAGAAAATGGAAACTACTATCATGGGTTATATAGGGTTTGGGGTGTAGGTTCTTATTCTATGTATTTAAGATTATAGGGAACATAGGGATTATACTGGGATTATATTGGGATAGGATTATATTGGGAATCTCCATTCTTCGGTATGTGGATGATGGAAGCGAAAATGGAAACTACAGGGATCGTAGGGATTATATAGGGATTATATGGGGATTATGTAGGGGTTATAGGGAATGTATGTGTTATATGGGGATACTAGAAAAGAAAATGGAAACTACTCTCATGGGTTATATAGGGTCCCTAGAGGTTATAACATACTACAATGAGAATACTTAAGATTAGGAGGTTTGGGGGTTTTAATTTTGGCGCGGAGGGGGTTATCCTGGAACAAACAACGTCCTAAGCACCCATTACCAAGGTACGACTGCAACAAGATCACCAAAAGAAACGAGACTAGGTTGAAGGTTTAGGGTCTGATACAAGAAGAAGCAGATCATCTACAAGTGGCCTCTCCGCTACAGTAAAGGTCACCGTCACGAGGTTGCGCGAGATGGGAAACATCGGAGAAAAAACGAATGACCAAGTACTGCCAGGGGCCTAAATATTTACGAAGATCATGTTGAAGTCCATTTAAGGTATCCTATACCACACGTATACAGGGAATCTGATGCCATAACGCTTATAGTCATTTAGGCCCAACGTATATTACAATATAACCCCAATAACCCCTAAACAGGAGCCTAAATCCCTAAACCCATTAGGCCCAAAGTATATTACAACACCACTCCAAAGTGAGCCTGCATCCAAACCTTGAGCTGCTAGCGATTCCTGGTAAAAGTCTATCGCTCCTGACCCTGAACTCCTACATTGTAACACAAAGATAATCCTAAACATAGTGGTTTCCATTTTATTTTCCATTATCCCAATATAACCCCAATATGTCCCCTATATAAACCCTATAAAACCCATTGTAGTGGTTTTCATTTTATTTTCCATTATCCCAATATAACACATCTTGATCCACAACTCGGCAAGATCTGTTTTCTGCTGCCTCCCTTACCGACGTTTATCAGGATCCCCTGCTGCCGGGTTGAATTTCTGTTTGCTTCCTGCTCGTGTGCGCATGCTCTGTGACCTCAGAATTCGAAGACTGTTGCAAAAGATTTTGCCGGGCTCCTTGTTCCTGGTTTCCGGACAGCAGGATCCCCACTGGCTGCGTGAGAGCACGCAGCCCACTTCCTAGATTCATCATGTGAGACATGTTCTCAGCAGTCATGCAGCAAAAATGATGGTAAAGTGCATGAGCCAAGAGTTTCCTCTGGCTTGTAAGTCGTAGTTGTGCCTATCAACAGTTATGTCATGGCCTACCGCTTGCTAGTAGGAAATCAAGGAATGGATCCCCATAGCAGCCCCCCTATATTCCACGGTAGCTTCCATGTTCTTGTCAGTTCCTTCATTTCCTACTAACAACCCATGCCAGCGCCTGAGAACAGCATTGTGGGATGCGAAGACATCTGCTCCTCATCATTGAAATTATCTGCCAGAAGCCCTAGCTCCCGGACACAAAACATATGTCTTGATCAAAGATAGGGCATAAGGATGGGCTATCATGATTAAAAACCCTTTTCGGCACGTTAGACTAGCTGCTTTGATTTACCTTGCTTGATTCTGGCACTCCCCGACAACCAAATGCTGCGCACGCATTTGGCCAAACTCTCTGTTCATGGTTGTGCCGCAAAACCATTGTGGTGGCTCTCAGGCAGCTCACACCATTTGCGCGCCATCCCCTGCAAAGGTCACAGCTCCAAAGAATGTGGGCTTAATGCGAGCCACACAGCAATTCCTAGAGTGTCCTGGCACAGAAACCTCTTGAGCAAGCCTCTTCCAAAGATATGATGACACAAATCTTGTGGAATCTGCTCCGATGGCAAAGCTGGACTGCATAAACAAAAAAATATGTTGTATGGCAGCCTACACTGTAAGGCTTTTATGGCAGAGTGTCATGCTGCAAGGACAAGGTTGCGCAACTAATGAAACTCTTTGCAGACTCCATCCCCCCGCCTAGAATCACTTCCGAATCTCCCCGAAGCTTTGACCTGGCCCAGTAGAAGAGGAAGTCTGAGAGGATCAGGATGTTCAGAGTCTCCGACGCCATCTGAACACCACGGTTGTCCGGATATCGCCACAAGAAGACCCGCGGATAGCAAATCCAGAAGCACAGAGTGAAGAACCGGTTCAGGGCGGTGAGGACTACGAAGTAAGACAACAAAGGCGACACCCTCTTGTCTTGATGGAACATCCACAGCTGAGGTATGAGGGCTACGGCACCCATTGCCTCGTAGTAGCAACAGAAGTAGCTGACCCAGAACCCATGCTGAGACCTCCTCACAAAGTACCACATCAACGCCAGCACCGCCACAACAGCGTACAGAAAACTGGCGGCCACTATGGGGCTTGTCTTCAAGGGACTGTTCTTTGGAAGCAGGTCGAGGCGTTCAAAGATGTGGATGCCAAAATTGTCCTTCTCCTTCTCATAGCTGGGGTAGTAGTACAAGAGAAATGAGGCCAGCAAAGCACAGCCGATGCAAGCACTTACCACATCAATGGCTGGATAAAGCAGCCAGGGTAGCACATTCGGGCGATAGTGGAGCCCAATGTAATGGCCTAGGCATGTGTCCACCCAACACCCTACCCTGAGCCTGAAACGCCAAAAAAAACCGCAGACTAAGTCAGTCGAGCAGCTTATCAAATGGAGAACTCTGGCGCCAACTACAGTCGCCAGAGTCTGCAAGGAAAGACCCGCCGCTGATCTGCTCTTCCGTAGCCTGAGAAAGACTACCACGAAGGTGCCCCCGATGCACAGGTCGGAGAAGTGAATCAGAAGGTCCAGCCACAGTTCCTCAAGCGTAAGGAAACACGAAACTACAGAACCCACACTTTGTGGGATATCTACGCCAGTCGTGAAAAACCTCCTACCCTCCAAACCTACCTTAAGACACAAAATCAGCCTGCAAATCTTCCAGTCTAGCCAAGAAACGCCCCACTCCATGGGTTGCCAACACTAAGGGCTTCTTACAACAGCAATTGAAAGTAGGTCCCCTTGTCAGTGTCTGGAGAAGATCTGTACGCGTTTTAAGGTTTAGGGTCTAGGGAAACGACAGATATGAAATCTAGGCCTATAAAAGCGGCTGCTCCAAATGGAGTTGCATCCTCTGCTATCTCAGGCGCTCTCCATGACATGTGTATGCAGCCTCTGAGAGGCGTAGACGGCGGCAGCCTCATGCCCTCTGTTGGAGCAAGTACACCACAAGGTCTGAACCATGCTTATCTCGGGTCACCGCAGACCCCATGACTGAACCTACTCTTAACCAGGACCCAGTGTAGGGAGACACAGCGTGGACCCCCACAACTTGCCAAAGAAACGCTTTGCCACACCGGGAAAAATTTTAGCGTAACAACGAACTCAATAGCCTTCATTGCTAAGCTGTTTCCCACAGACTCCCTTTCATTGCTAAGCTGTTTCTTACAGAGCCCCGGTCATCTGCAATTAACTGTGAACCGCTGGGAAACCACCGATTCCTTCCCGGTTCTTCCCATCAACCCGTACCATCACTTTCAACATCCTTGGGCTTGGCCTGTCCAGCTCTGGAATTATCACACTTCATGAAAGTATCACACTCAAATGTCTGGTAAGGTATGGAACGACTAAAAAAGGGATTCAGGACTTCAACAAACAACCGCCCTGAAGCTTTCAAAAAAAGTGCCCCACGGATTTTAAAAGCCGCCGAAAGGTACACCCCCAAATCACATGGAACCCCAGATGCCAGCCTGTTCCAAAGGACCGCAGCCGGTCACTTGGGACGTTTTCAGCAACACCTAGATACTAAACCCTAAACCCTAAACCTGAGGCAGCTGAGCCCGCGCACACTCAGAGGCCGTTGACCAGGTCTAGGTGGGGCCGGCTGCCCTTTGCCCTGCCAGAGCACGCTGACTAAGTCAGGAATGCAAAAAGAATATGGAAACTACAATAGTATTTAGGGTATGGGGTTTAGGCTTTAGGGCTTTGGGTTCTTGAGGCACTATTTAACATGATCGCCTCTGCTCTTGTGTTGGGTTTGAGTAAACTAGAAACGAGCCATTCGCCAACACCCAGGCATACTCTTGGTGGTAAAGGCCTTGCACCACTTACGAAGGACATGTCCTCGGATATCGACAAGGGGAGGTTTTGGGGGCTTGGGTGCGTCGGGGATTTAGGGGTGCTGTGAAGGTGTTTTATAGGTTACCGGCCCTCTATACGAGCATCCGGCCCAAGGTTCCTGCCTGGGCTTCAGCTTTGGGGCTTAGGGTTTAGG